TTACACAAAGATCTTACAATTTTATTGGTTCCGATCCTATGCGGAGGGTCCGTTTTTGCTTGACATAAGGGTACCCTGTATATGTGTAAACTAATAAATTTTCTTTAAATAAATTCAATTTAAATAATTTTTTTGCATAAATTTACATATAAAATTGGGCATGTCAACTCATTTGATTTATAAGTAACTGCATTCTAAGCTATTATATATAGACATGTCTCTTAACTGTTGAAATTAGCACTTGAAATTAGATCTTGCAATGCTACGAAATTTTTCATAATAAAATTTATTACTATATTGTTTTTTATATAGTAATTTTTTTTATTAGTCGTAGTTAACATTACGTACGTTACTTCATATCGATACGTGTACATACATATTACTGTGGGGGATGATGCTGGGAATCGGATGACGCTGGGAATCATGTGATCACATGATTCCAAGCATCATCCGATTCCCAGCATCATCCCCCACAAAAATTAAATTTATATTTGAAGTAAATTTGATGACCATATAGTCGCGAGATAACCCATTCCTGTGCGTCAATTTATCCATCCGCGCATTATTATGAGTCACCTATGCGCGTTATTTCGAAATAAAGGAATCGAAGAAAAAATTGCCACCCTCTAACTTATGAACCCATTTTGTGTTCTCACAAAATGAAATGGTTGACCAAAAAATTTCAATATTTATTTGAAGTTCTTCCTCACTTAGAGTAAATGGAAAGTATAAAGAGGTGGTATGTGTTTTTGTCACTTCTTCGAATAAATATATTTTATTTCCTTGTGCAATTTTGAAAGTATAAAGACAATGAAAATACAATGATGAATCTTCATTTACAACTATTATACGAAATAAAGCAACAAAAGCAATAATGTTATCAAAAATTGAAAGATTTGCCTAAGCAAGATTGCAAAAATTCTTCAATCCCATATTCCCCCCACGTGAAACATTTATCACGACCCTGACTCACTATTTCCTTCATCTCTTTGATCATTACTTTTTTCGGCATTATTAACAAACTGAACGCTATAACCACCACTATTTGGATCTTGCATCATTTTAAAATTCTTAGTTGATAATCCAAAATTGCCTAGAAACTTGTCTCCTATATCTTTTAATTTATCAATCATTTCATTTTTTTCTTTTTCTTGTAGTATGGAAATTTGTGGAGGTAAACGTTGAATTGAAGTGTTCACTTGTTTACGGGTTTGTGAGTTTAAGGTTGAATAATGAGATGATGTTGATTGTAATGTTTTGTAATCTGCAGTGCCATGTGTAAAAAGAGAATGGGAATGGTGAAGGTGTGATATAAATTGATTGAAATAATACGAATTTAAAACTACAAACCTTCAAGTGCGGATGTTAATGATGAAAAGGTATTAAGTTTTTCATTAGATTGGGCTCTACGTAATAAAGCCTTCGTATATGTTGGAGAATCTTCAACCGCTAATATTATATATATAATAAAATTTATCGATCATGCGAATTCTTAAATCATATAACAGTAATAAACCTAACCTTTTGTGCATGACTTTACGGCGTCTTTATACTTTTCCTAATTACAATGAATAACATAAGTAAAAAAAAACGATTTATCCGTTAAATCGTGAAAATTTTGTAGCTTCTTATTCTTAATCTCTCTCCAAATCTTACATTACCAATTTAAAATAACATGCTCCAAGATTTCCCCAATAAATAGCTCGTTCGTCCTTCCTTTCGTCCGGACAGGTATCTAAAGCCTTTTCATATTGTACAATAGCTTCATCATATTTCATCTTAGCAAAATACTCATTTCCTGTTATTTTATAAGAATTAGCCAATTCAACTAATTTTTCAATTTCTTCCGGCGTGAATTTCGGTTTTGTTTCAACGGTTTCTTGTTCTGAAACATCATTACTGGTAGATATTTGATCTAATGTAAAAAAGATTCAGTTTTCAGTTTGAAAATAAAATAAACATATGTATACTGATTGTAAATAAACCTTGAGTGTTGTCTTGGAAAGTCGTCATTTTTTGATAATTTCTTGAGCATGGTAAAGATTCTTTTTAATTGGCTATAATATCAGATGATTTTATCAAATGTGATTGGCCAACAAATGTCACACGAGATTTGAGATCAAATTCGGGTTGAGATGATTATGTCATTTGCTAAGTTATGCTTGTATCAAACCGTTATACCGAACTTATAAGAGGTAATTTCGGGTGTAACAGTACGTACATATACAGGGTCGCAAAAAGATTCAGAAACAATTGTAGTATATTCTATAAATCGAGTATGGATTAGGGCTAAAATTTTTCTTAATTGTTTAATCGTTTAACCGTTTAATTTGGCCGGCATTAAAATAATTCCAGCTCACGACCAACATAATTCCGCCCGGAACTATGGAGCAATTTTTAAACGGTTAAATGGTTTCAATCCCTAGTATGGATGATCCAATTCTTATGATTCTGTGCTTGAACGAAGGCTACAGGTTTAACAGTTGAATGATGTCAAACGTTAAAATTAGAAGTCAATGGAAATAAGCAATTGTTTTGTTAATATAATGCCAATATTTCATGAACAGCTGATCCGTTTTTGATGATTTTTATCTTAAATGAAGTTACATCCGTTTAAGTCCAAAATTATCAAAAAACGGATCAATATCAGCACATCACTGCGAACGATCGTTCACCATATAACGATAATACTACGCTTATAGCTAATCTGTTTTCGACGATTTTGAATCTTGCCATTTATATGTAGCATATGTTTAAACCACTCGAAGAATGATTTGATCTCTTAAAATACGGAAGAAATTTGTCATACATTTTATATATCATTTTCCGGATCTCTCTTGTAACCACGTTTCTGATCCAGGACTTCAAATAATATATAGAGAGGCTATATAGTCAGCTCTGGTTATAATCATACCTTTTGGCCGAAAAAAAAGTGATTATATGTAATAAGGTTGGGTTGGGTTTATAAAAAAATCAAATTGTTATATTGTTAGCTGTTGCTAGGATTTGGGATCTTAATTTATTAACAATTTTTTTTTAAAGGTCATGCCTCAAGACTTTATTGTACTGGATAGATATGGACACCATATGCACAGTGCTTATACATGCTTGCAACCATGCATGCGTATAGTGTGTGCATAGTATTATTATAGCAGTACTTGTAAGAAGGATCAAAGAGAGGGTTTTAGCAAAAGGATTTATTTACTTGTTTTAAAGACAATAAAGATATTACAAGGTTATTAGAACAAAGGGAATATTATAAGAATATTTCAAAGAGTATTATTTATCTGTTTCTATTTAATATATTAGTATTTATATTATTGTCTAATACTTAATATCTATTATTTACTTGTCTAATACCTTCTTGAGATAAAAAGAAAAGTCTTCCTTTAAATATCTGTTAGATTAAAAAACAGTAGCATACAACTATGTGAGATACACTAATATATACTGGTATACAATTATATACAGTATGTTATATATATAACATTAACTAATAATAATAAATTAAATAATTAAATTAAATATAGTCAAACTTCTATAAATGCAACTTCTCTAAATACATATTCTATAAAAGATCTCCATAAATACATAGCCTTGCTGTATTTTTATTATATATATACTTATAGATTTTTACTTTTCTAAATGCAATACCTCTTTAAATGCAAGATTTTTTAAAATTTTTTATAGTCTATATAAATTGTATTTAAAAAGAGTTGACTATAATTTTAAAAAATAAATAAATAAATAAAATATAAAATAAAAATTATATTTTTTCTTTGATTTTTTATATTTTTCAAAATCAGATCAAAATTGTTTAATTGATATTAAAATAACTAAACAGAAATAGTAATTATTAAACTAACTTTTTTTTGTATTCAAATAATTTGCAAACTAGTCTATTATTACTAGTCTCTATTTTATTTTCAACTTTATAAATATTTAATCATCTTATTGCCAATTATTTAAGTTTTATATTTTGTCAATTAATTTGCTAAATTCTTCTTGCTTGACACCTACTTGATTTTGTAAACCTATATATTGTTTTTTGAGATCTTCTTTAGTATAAGTAGGCATATATAAATAATTACAAGATTATGATATATAAAACCTAACTAATTTGAGTTAATTTAAATTTTAATCTTAACCCTAACCTTAATAATTTATAAAATTACTTAAATTAGTTTAAAATTTTTAATTTTTATATATTATAATTGTATAATAATAATTATTTTTTTTTTGGTATTAAGGTAAGGTCTTGCCTTATATTTTTATTAGATATATTAAGTATTTGCCTTATATGGCTACATATAATCTTAAAAATACAGACTTAGACAATTTTATCTACAATCTAAACCCACCAGAGTATACTATGTTCCTACTGCATATTAGGTTATATCTAGATTTGGTGTTCAGACTATTTCTAGTTACCCACTATATTCACCTCATATCTTATTATTAAACTTTGGTAACTCTTAAATTGATTTATTTGGGTAATTGGTCTTTAATAGTCTCTCAATTTGGTGTGCCTGTTATTCAAAATATTTTCTAAACTAGTATACTTCTTCTAATAGGTGGTCTCTTATCTATGTTTTTCAAGCCAGGTATCTACTGCTGTCACTAGTCCTATATAAGAAGTATTAGTATCATATATTGGAAAGGGAACTTATCATTAGGTTTGTACTAACTAATACCAGCTTGTATTTCTTCATACAACTTATATTATATAAATGTCTCAAACCTTCTACTTGTTTTCTCAGATATATTAGTCTCATATCTTAAACCAGATCCTGCTGCTACCACCCAGTTTTCTGTCCTCAAGTCTTAGTATTTCCTAAGTTATCTAATGCAGTGTACTTTTTACTACTCTTTTAAGTACTCCCTTATATAGTATTCATCAAGACCATAGTTTATAAGGATCCTTTAAGTTGCATAACAACTACAAGGCTATACACTCTCAACTATTTTTGTAATTTTACTTTAATGACCTATCTTGTTAAAGACTAGCCTAATATTATGAAATTACTTAAGTGGCAAGCTAAATCATTTCTAGCTATTTCTAGTTGGTATCATATTAATATTAGTAAATTCTAATTTTTTTTTATCATAGACTTCCATATAGGTGTGATCAGAGCTCCAAATTAGTATCTTTAGTCATACAGAAGTAGGTTACATGTATACATGCCGCACAAACTAAAAATCTTCAAAATCCCACCCAAACCCAAATCCCATGTGGAAAAATCCCAAAATCTA